CTCGGTATGGCAGAGGGAACAAGGCAAAGTCCCAAACCCTGTGATTCTTTGGGAGAGTCCAGGACACCTAGAGGACAGGCCCATGACACTGGCTCACCTCACACCCATGGAGTGCTGGGCCAACCTTCTGTGGGAGCCAGGGCCGACCAGAGCGCATGGCCTAGGAGACCCTGACCCCAAGGGCTCCGTCTGTCCTCAGGGAGCAGGATCCATAGAATGCGGCATAGATGTTCCCAGAAATAGGAGATCTAGGCCCTTCTCAGGAGAGGACACTTCTTTATTGGGGTTGGATAGAAAAGGAACAGTGAAAATGTTTTTATCCACTTTAAAGTTAATAACATGGAAACGATAGAGATCTCCATTAAATTAATATAGAAAACCTCATTATTCATTGATTATGAATGTCTGTTGTTGCTTGGAATGGGGGAGCCCTTGCTGCTTTCTCTCCTTGGTGTCTCTTTTTGTCTTTCAGCAGAAAGACAAAATGCAGAGGTGGGAAGAAGAAAGGAGTGGAGCTTTTGAAAGTAAGATTGCTGGCCAAGACTGGGCTGTCACAGGTGTGAATGTCACTGCTCCTGCCCACGGGGCCCAGGTGCACAACCACTGAGGTCCTCAGTTCCTAGAGCCAAGTCTTCTCAGAAATGGGGCGCTGGGGAGGGTCCCATGGGAGTGAGGGAGGGAGAGCCTGGACCCTCTGCTGCCCCGTTCTGCCCTCTGGGGCATGGCCCTAGGACACTGAGAGACACGATGGGAGAACTGTTGGATCTTGGAGGCAAGATGTTTCGGTCCTGACTTTGAACACATTGTTATGGTCTCTAAATTACAGGGTCCTCCTGTGAGACAGCACGTGGCCCCCCCACAGGATACGGTGCCGTGGCAGTCACCTGGATAGGTGGGGTGGCTTCGGGTAAAGGACACAGCACCGCCCCTGCTAAGCTTCACTGTTATGGTCACTGACCTTGCAGCTAGAATGAGTTCCTGAGGCTCTCAGGGTCTAATTTTGAAGTAGTCTACACACAAGGAAACATTCTACTCCACCTCCAACAGGACCCTTTGCTCCTAGCTTCAGCTGCTACATGCCGGGCTCCCATTTCCAGCTCGGAGAGTCACCTAAGAGACCCCACCATGTTAATGGACCAACTCTCACTTGAAAAAAGGCCATTCATTCATCTCTTCCCTTCTTCCAGGCATCCCCTTCCTCTTTTCCCATGAACTACAGGGCCCCGGGCAGCATGGGGTTGACTTGGGAAGGAGAAGCCCAGGGGACTGATTGACAGGACTGTGGGATAGGGATGGAGATGCACCAGAGGCCAGGGATGTGGGGATCGAGACCCTCGTTAAGCACCCCACTCCCAGCTGATGGAATGGACCCCCGCTTGGCCAAGGGCATCCCAGAAATATCCTAAAGCTGAGGTGCTGGCCATGACAAAGGAAGTTAGACACGCCTCGTCATGCCCCCTCCTTTCTTGGAGATGCCCTTTGTAACTCATTACCAGGCAGAAGGCTATGCAAGGCAGAGCTTAAATCACACCTCCAGGTCCTCAACTTACTTAACAGATCACTTGAGTCTGGTATATGTCCAGTGGCTTGTCCCCAATTAACAGACTTCCTTATCTTAACTTAAAACATTCCAAGCCTTTAGACAAAGCTTCATTTCTTTAACCAGTCACAAATCAAAGAATCTTTAAACCACCTATTATCTGTAAGCTCCCGCTTCAAGATGTTCCGCCTTTTCTGACCAAACCAATGTACACCTTCCATGTATTGATTTATGACTTTATGTGTAATTCCTGTCTCCTGGAAATGTATAAAACCAAACTGCAACCCAAACACCACGAGTCCACTTCCTCAAGGCTTCTTGGGCATGGCTCTGGGCCATGGTCCTCACACTTGGCTGAGAATAAATCTCTTTAAATTATTTTACAGAGTTTGGGTTCTTTTCTGTTAACACTTCCATATTTACTCTGTGCATTGCCTGCTGTCCCCATTCACATGTAAGGTCCAAGAGGCCATGGATTTGTTACGAGTGTTGCTTTTTGTTCACTGATGTAGCCGCAGGACTTAGAACAGTGCCTAGTACACAATGGGCACTCAATAAACAGTGTTCGCTGAAATGAAGAGACAAAGAAAAGGTGGCAGAGCTACACACAAAAGAGATGTGCTAGGGAGGATGCTAGTCATTGGATCTAGGTAAAGGGCATACAGGTATTCATTGTATTATTCTTTCAACCTTTATGAATATATGAACATTTAGAAAGTAAAAAGTTGTGGAGGAGAAAAAGAAAATAGGATACAATGAGATGAAGGCCCTGGGAGCTTACATTTTCTGTTAGGACCAAGGTTGCCGGGACAAAGCTTGATCCCTGTCAACTGGCAAAACAATCCAGGACAATCCAATGATAGGGCAGAACTCCAGTCCTGAGCTTCACAGCCCCTTAGGCAGAGGGAACCCTGTAATAGTGGAAGGGAGGCTTAGCATAACTAGCTCCATTTTGCTTCTCACCCCCTTCAGTAATATCCTTTAGGTTAAAATCTGCTAAACTCTGCACATAGGCCAGCTAATTATAGGAAGAATTTAGTTTGTAGTTCAACTCCAGAAGGTAATGGTCCCTTTTCCAAAAGTAACTCCTGGGCAGATAAGGAAAGTATGCACAGAAGTAACAAGATTTATAGGAACATCAGGACCTGATCTAAGAACTTTTACAACATCCTCGGACCCTCACTGAAGTCCAGATGTCTGCAGTCCTCGGTTACTCCTTGCAACCCCCCCACCTCTGTCCCTTCTCCTTTCCCTTAATATAAAAAGGTGCCTAAAGCTCATACTAACTTAAGACAGTTCTTTAGGAATCAATCTGCCATCTTCTCAGTTTGCTGGCTCTCCAAATAAAAGTTGCTTTCCTTGCCCCAACACCTTGTCTCTGGACTTACTGGCTCTCCTGTGCCGAGTGTAGGAGCTCCGACTCATTCCAACCCTGTTACACTTGGGTGTGTGTGTTCCATGGTGGGCAGGTCTATGCAAATCTACCCCCAAAGTCTGAGGAAGCTGAGGGGCCAAAGAAAGAGGCTGACCATCTGGTGCTTCTCAGAAAGAAACATTTAATAGGGACTTATTTACCGGCAGAAGCCACGTCCCAGGCAGCCGTGAGATGGTATACCCGGAACCATTACCCCCCCAGACCTAGGACTTACACACCATAGGGAAGAGTTGTATAGGATAATTGAAGCAGACTCCTCAGGGAAAGGCAAGAATGCTATGTGAATCTGCCCAAGGGCAGGATTATGGTCACGGTCATTTTGACCTACTGGCACAATTTACAATAACAATAGATAGGCCGGGCTCAGTGGCTCACTTGCCTGTAATCCTAGCTCTCTGGGAGGCAGAGGCGGGCGGATTGTTTGAGCTCAGGAGTTCAAAACCAGCCTGAGCAAGAGCGAGACCCCGTCTCTACTAAAATTAGAAAGAAATTAACTGGACAACTAAAAATATATAGAAAAAATTAGCTGAGCATGGTGGCGCATGCCTGTAGTCCCAGCTACTTGGGAGGCTGAGGCAGGAGGATCGCTTGAGCCCAGGAGTTTGAGGTTGCTGTGAGCGAGGATGATGCCATGGCACTCTAGCCTGGGCAACACAGTGAGACTCTGTCTCCAAAAAAAAATAAATAAATAAATAACAATAGATAAAGTAGAAATCTTAGTTGCATTAATCAGAAGTCAACATGGCAGATTAGCATCTGACGTGGGGTTACTTTAACCTCCACAGTGTGGTTGATGGAGGGAAGCTGATCTCCACTCCATAAAGTGGGAACCCCTTCCCCTAATTGCTGTTAAGACTCGTGGAAGCACCAGCACAGGGCTTCACACTTACCTGGTCCATGGTAATTACAGGATTGTCACCACATCCTCCAGTCTCCCTGCTCAGACATAGGCTCTCCAACACCACAGTCACAGCACCCTGGCTCAAGCCCACACACCTTCCCTGTTGCCTCCAGCCCAGTCCTAGTTCTTCCTGAGATCTTCTGGGCTCCAGGCCACACGTGCCAGATGGACAGTACACTGACCTGGACCTCTGCTTCACGACTGAGGGGGGAAGGTGTAAAATATCAGAAAGTAGACAAGATAGCCGACTTTCTCCCCGCTCCCATCCCTACTGCAAATCAGCCCTAACCTTCCTCCTTTGGGCATTCTGGTCCTTGGCTGTGCCTCAAGCCTCTTCTTGTTGTACGGGTGCGTCTGCCTCCCTGTGACTCTCCCCCCGGGTGCACGGTTTAAACACAACCAAAAAGTCCGTAGACACCAGTGCAGAGTGGACGACGGAGACAGCCATTGCTCATAAACTGACAACCACCTACCGGGGCCATGCTGAGTCCCAGGGTACAGCAAAGAGCGAGAGACCGAGCCTCTGCCCTTGCAGCGCTCACCATCCTAAGAGAGCGGAAATAACCATACGCCAGTAACCAAATACGATCATTTCAGAGTGTTGTGATAAAGGAAAGGGGCCTCTGAGACGACAGTTGAGGTGAAGCTACAGCAGGGACCAGCTAGGCGGGGTCAGGAGAGGATCGTTTCTGGCAGCGCGGAGAGCAAGGACAAAAGTTCGGAGGCGGAAACGAGCTCAGAGGGCTCTAGGACTGACAAAAGTAGGAGCGAGCCGAGAAGGGGAGGCGGAGCAGGTAGGGATGGCCCTCCGCTTCCGCCGATGCGCCCGGAAGTGCGGCTGGGGACGCGCGGGCTGGCCTACTCCAGAGCCCAGTGTGGCCCCTCTAGGATCCGCGGAGGCCTGGGCTCTTGGTGGCTTCGGAGAGCTGCCCCCCGGTAGGTCACCGCGAAAGCCTCCTGGCGGGAGAGGAGGGTTCGACAACCGTCGCTGGCGGGCGTCGCGCTCCAGGATTGGTGGCCCGGGATGTAGGGGCGGGGACTTAGGGGCAGGGCCCCCAGGGATTGGCGACTGCACAGACGGGGCGGGGCGGCCTCTTTGTCTGAGGCGCTGCAGGCTGTCTCCCCTTCACGCGCGAGCCGGCTGCGTGGACGGTGAGTGGGGTGTGTGTCGGCGCCAGGCCGGCCGGGACCCTCTCCCCTCACGGACACCACCCGAGCGAGCGCGTCCTTCACACTGATAGGACGCTTCCCCGCGGGCACGCGCTGCCGGCTTCGCTGGCGCTGGTCCCCTCCTCTCATGGACACGCAGCGGCCTCCCCGCCTCGGCCGAGGCCGCGCCCTCTGGCCGGATCGGGGTCCCCACCCTTTCCCTTTACCACGCCCCGTACCCCCTCAGCCCCTAGTGCGCCCCTATCCCCCTCCGACCCTCCCGCGTCTCCTTCCCCGTCCGGCCCCCCAGACCTTCCAGCGCCTCCTGCCCGCTCCCCGAAGACCCTCTCGCGCCCTCTCCTCTTCCCCCTGGCGCTGTGGATCGTCTGGAGTCCGAGGCGCGCGGGCCGGGTCCCCCAGGCCGCCCTTTAGGCCACGCTCGGCGGGGTCTGGAGGGAGAGGATGGGGCGCCATGGCCCCTGGCGGGAGGGCATCCTCAAAATGTGAAAACGGAGATTTCTCTGCTACATGCACAACCTCTGGGGCTCCACAAGGACCGGAGCGCCTCTATTTAGCAATAAAAACGTTTTCCCGCGTCAAAGGAAGGGCTAGCTGCTTTCGTCTCAGCAGTTGTCGGCCGAGTGTACTACTTCCCAAATTTCTTACCCTCTTCCATCATTCCACTGGTGCTGTCTTTTTCCTATTACTTTTTAAGAACCCTATTTTAATCAATGAGACTGACCAATGTTTTTGTAACATAGCAAATATTTTCCTTATCATTGGATTTTAAATTTTTTGTTTGTTTGAGACAGAGCCTTTCTCTGTCGCCCGGGCTAGAGTGTCGTGGCGTCATCCTAGCTCACAGCAACGTCAAACTCCTGGGCTCAAGCGATCCTCCTGAGCCTCCTGAGTAGCTGGGACTACAGGCGAACACCACCACGCCCGGCTAATTTTTTCCATTTTTAGCAGAGACGGGGGTCTCGCTCTTGCTAAGGCTGGTCTCGAACTCCTGAGCTCAAGCAATCCTCCCGCCTCGGCCTCCCAGAGTGCTAGGATTACAGGCGTGAGCCACTGCGCCCGACCCGGCTTTTTAATTTTTAAATAGAAAATAATATGCAATAGTTCTTTCAATGCAAGTATGTCAGAAAAATCTAGAAATCACTCTCCAACAGCACCCTGCCAATGTACGCAGAGGTAAGCACTCTGAACAGTTCTGTATGAACCTTTTCCGAATTTTTCTGTGCAATTTACAGCTCTGCAGGCGCGCACACCTTTTTCTGTTATTAACATGGAAGGTAAGCTCTCGGACAGCAGGGGGCGCTGGACTCGCCCCCTGCCGGGTCTATACTTGCAGATTTTTCAGTTCCCAGTTCAGTTCCCTGTTCCCTGGGCTCTGCATCCCCTGGGTTTCTCTGTCGGGTGTAACCGTGAGAAGTGGCGTGAGGGCAGGAGGTTCGGGCGTTGCCATCGACCTTTCCGCCCGGTATGGGGTTAGCGTCTCTGCGGTCTTGCCAGGTCGACGTCTTAATTTCCGTTCTAGATTGTTGGTGAGGTTGAAATCTCTTCATTTGTGTTTTAGCCATTCTTTGTGACTTGCCAGCTTATATTCTTTTCCATATATGTTATAAACATACTTCTCAATTTATCCGTTTGACTTCAATTATGTTGTTTTGTCCTGGTTTGGGTTTTTTTTTTGAGATAAAAGATTTTAAGTTTTTAATGGTCAAAATTTTCCCTGAAGACTTTTGAGCTTTGTGCTGTGTTTTAAAGGGCTTTCCTCATTCCAGGATTATTTTAAAAATAAACTCTTGTTTTTCTCTGGTACTTGTAAAATGTTGGATACATCTGGAATTTATTTTGGTGTGGGGTGAGTTTGGAATCTAGCTTCATTTTTTTCTCTAAATCATAGCCATTTCTAGCACCATCTATTGAATAATTCTTCTGTCCATTGATTTGAAAAACTACCTATTTCATATACTAGATTCTTATATGTCTTTAGGTCCATTTCTGGAGTTTGTGGTGGCTTTGATGTGCATAAAGTTTTGATTTATAAGCTGCAGATCTGTGGATCTCTGTCCCCAAGATTTCTGCTTTTGGTATTTTGCTTAGAAAGGCCCTTCCCACATAAAATAATAAAAATTTACCTGTATTTTTTTCAAATTCTTTATTGACACATAATAATTGTACATATTTATGAAGTAAACAAGTCATATTTTGATACATACATACAATGTGTAATGATCAAATGGGATAATTGAGACATCCCTCACCACAAACATTTATCAGTTGTGTTGAGATCATTTCAAATCTTCTATTTTGAAATATACAATAAATTACTGTTAGTTATATTCACCCTACTATGCAATCGAACTCCAGGATTTATTCCTTCTATCTAACTGTATGTTTGTATCCATTAACCAACCTCTCTTTATCCCCCACCCCTACCCTTCTCAGCCTCTGGTAACCATCATTCTACTGTCTACCTCCAAGAGATCAACTTTTTAGTTCCCACATGGGAGTGAGAACATGTGATATTTGCCTTTCTGTACCTGGCTTATTTCACTTAACATAATGACCTCTAGAGCCATCCATGTTGCTGCAAATGACAGGATTCCTTCTTTTTTATAGCTGAATAGTATTCCATTGTGCATATATACCATAGTTTCTTTATCCACTTATCCATTGATGGACACTTAGGTTGATTCCATATCTTGGCTATTGTGAATAGTGCTGCAATAAACATGGCCATACAGATATCTCTTTAATATACTCTGATTTCCTCTTTTCAATATATACCCAGCAGTTGGATTACTGGATTATACGGTGGATCTATTAAATATTTTTAATGTTTTAGGAACCTCCATACTGTTTCCCATACTATTATAGCTGTACTATTACAATTTACGCTCCTGCCGGGAGTGTACTAGCATTCCCCTTTCTCCATATCCTCACCAGCATTTTGTTATTTTTTGTCTTTTTGATAATAGCTATTTTAACTGGAGGGAGATGATATCTCATTGTGGTTTTCATATGCATTTCCCATGATTAGTGATGTTGAGCATTTTACATATTCCTGTATGTCTTCTTTTGAAGAAATATCTATTTGGATCATTTGCCTGTTTTTTTTGGTTTTGGTTTTTTGGTTTTTTTTTTGAGACAGAGTCTCACTGTGTTGCCCAGGCTAGAGTGCCATGGCATCATCCTCGCTCACAGCAACCTCAAACTCCTGGGCTCAAGCGATCCTCCTGCCTCAGCCTCCCAAGTAGTTGGGACTACAGGCATGCGCCACCATGCTCAGCTAATTTTTTCTATATATTTTTAGTTGTCCAATTAATTTCTTTCTATTTTTAGTAGAGACGGGGTCTCGCTCTTGCTCAGGCTGGTTTCGAACTCCTGAGCTCAAACAATCCGCCCACCTTGGCCTCCCAGAGAGCTAGGATTACAGGCGTGAGCCACTGCGCCCGCCCCATTTGCCTGTTTTTAAATGAGATTATTTGGTTTTTTGCTGTTGAGTTGTTGAGTTTCTTGTATATTCCTTGTCGGATGGATAGTCTCAAAGCATTTCCCCCCATTCTGTAGGTTGTCTCTTCATTCTGTTGATTGTTTCCTTTGCCGTGCAGAAGCTTTTTGCTTGATGTAATTCCATTTGTCTATTTTTGCTTTTGTTGCCTATGCTTTTTAGGTCTTACTCAAAAATTTGTTTCCCAGACTAATGTCCTAAAGCGGTTCCCTGATGTTTTCTAGTTTTCTTCATAGGAATCCTGAGCATTTCTGAAGTTTAATTTTGTTTCTTGATGCTACTCGTGAGTAGAATCTTTTTCTCTCTTCATATTTTATGACTGTTCATTGGTGTATGGGAAGGCTATCAATTTGGATAACTATTTCTGATCACTTACTCTGGGGAGGTTTCAGGTGGTCAAGTTTAACAGTGTTTTGCTTTGCACTCACAGGTGGCTCAGAAGCTGCCTCTTTTAGAGGTGCTTCCACCCTGGAGGGCAGGGGCTTCATGGCCGAATAGGGCTTCTTAGCAGGAAGTTGAAGGAATGAGGAGGAAGGGACAGCAATGGCTCTGGGGGAGATCCTGGCAGCTCATCCTAGACCAAGGGATTCAGAATGTGCCTGTCCCAGTGTGTCACCATGTGCAGGGTCCTCCGGAAGGACAGGCATGGTTGCTTTGTCACATCAAGACTGTCAGGAATTCCAAAAAGAGCTATAGGTTTCTAATGGTTAGCTTACAAAACAAAAAATTAATAAACGTTAAATTCTAAGCTGTTTGTGTAATTGTGGTCCCTTTTTAGTTCCTGACCCTGTGATCCTGCCTCACAGTGATCAGGAAAGCCAGACCCCTGCTTGGCAGAGAGTGTCTCACTGCAATGCAGCTTCTTTCCAGTTTTCTTTAAGTGACCTTGCTGCCAAGAACATTGATCTATTCTTGTTTTTATTTTGGGTTATTCCCTAGGGAGATTGCCAAAAACCAAAATTTCTGAGTCTGAAGAAGAATTTTGTGACACGTGGGTGGGTGGGGTCATTGCTCAGCCATGGCCCTGGATGGGTGCTCTATATATTTGCCCAAGTGTTAGGGGGTGGCCTAGCTTCATGAGGGGGCTCCTCAAATTCCATTTCTGGTACTCTGTGGTGGTGATTCCTGGCCTGTCCCAGCCCCTGGCCCTGGGGCCTGGCATCTGTACAGGACTTATTATGACCCAGTCTTTAATTTTTAAAAACTGTCCACACCATTCTCCTTTCCTGCCTGAACTCCTGTGTTCTCATGGAGCAAAGCCTGGAAGTGGGCCTCAGAATTCTGGGGGCTTGGGAGGACAGGTTAAAAGCCAGTTTCTGGTGCCCCAAATAGCTCTGCTTTCCTGCCTTATGAGTGTGCAAGGTTTAACTTGAGGCCCACAATGTTTGCATATGTTCATATCCTGTCACAGGCTTGTTTCAGGAGACCCAGACCTTTGTCTGCCAAAGTGCAAGTAAAGAAAAATTTATCAGTACCAAAAGTATGAGAAGAAAAAAGTAAAACAAATACAAAAAGAAAAATTTAAAACTAGTCAGTGCCACTTTTTATTTTTTTTTTTTCATTTTTCACCAGACTACAACCATACTTTGTGATATACTTTTTCCACTTGGTGATATGTGAAGGTCATCCCTAGGTGAAGACCTGATGCCACTTTTGTTTTTATGCATTTCTAAGACTCACCCCAGGTGGCAGTCTTTCTCTTTCTCTGTCTTCTTGCCACACATATTGACAGCCTGATAATTGTCCTTTAGAGTTTTTCCTGTGTGTTAATTTAATGAAATCAGATAACACCACCTCATCCGGCTACATCCACTCTGAGCCAGGCCTGTTCTGAGCACTCTCCTCTCACTAACCATGTCATCTTTGAGGCCCTCAGGGGAATGTGGAATGTGTCATCTCTCAGATTTACATGTGGGTCCTCAGTGCAGCTGGCCCAGGATAAAGCAGGCAGGCCAGTCCCAGGTCCCTATGACACAAATACCCTTCAAGGGCTTGGAGTTATAGTTTACAAAACGAGAGCATCATCCACACACTGACCCATTCCACATTTTCACTCATCCGTCTGGCAGCCTAGCACAGTGTAAGTCTTTCTCCTCAGCAGATGCATGACCTGTGTGTGGAAGGACCACATTTGCCAATGCACCATGCTTAAGTCTGCCCTTACCTGCATTCATCCCTATAGGATGCCCACTGTCCAATGGCATATCTGATTCACCTAAATACTGCCAGGTGGCCTTCCTGAGAAAGAGTATGAGAAATTCCAATTTCTCATCCTTGCCAGTGGCAGGTGTTGATTCCTTACAAGTTGCTGTTCCAAAGGGTATAAAGTGTGATCTCATTGCTCCTTTAATTTCATTCATTTATTTAACAAACAGTTAACCACTGGCTGCTCTGTTGGGCCTGCTTCTTGGCTTCCCAGTGCAGCAGGAAGGGATAGAGTGAGAGCTGGGTGGGGGCACAGGCCGAGGGGTAAGGGGCCGCAGGGCTCTGAGGAAGATCACAAACATCAGGGCAGCCTTGTGGGAGCTGGTGGGGGTCTGGAGGGACCTCGAAGCAGAGGACAGTCACCGTGTTCCAGTGAGAGGGCAGATGGGGGGCCCGGCAGACGGCCCAGGAATGTGCCAAGGGCCACCAAACAGCTAAGGGCGGTGGCCACGGGGCAGGGAGCATGGGGTGGGCAACACGGTCAGGTTCTGGATGTGCTTGGAAGGTGGATTAGAAGTGGGGTGTGAGAGTGAGGAGGAAAGGAAGCTTATGTGCAGGTTTGCAGACTGAGCTGAGGACAGAAATGGTGGTGACGGCGGTACTCGGTTTTGGATGTTAAGTGTCTAAGATGCTACAAGACATGTACATGGAGATGTTGAGTCAGAGGGAAGGGGATTGCCAGCTCAAGGGCACCAAAAAGGAGCCTCCTGGGCTCAAGTGAATATTCAGACTCATAGGATGACCGCATCTGGTGCTGGGCTCATGGAAAAGCTGGCTTTGCCCTGCAGGCATCGAGGAGTACTTGGGGGCATGGACACGGATGCAGACAGGAGCAGGAACCAGCCTGGCCCAAAGCCTCTTAGTCACACAAACCAACACCTCCTGTGTTAGCAGTGTGGGCTGCAAGACCTGCTCAGGAGGCCCTGAATATGATTCCTGTGGGTGTTCATCATTGGCTTCCAGCCCAGGTGTGATGGGGGCTATAGTGTGAATGACTGTCCACCTCTGCCAGGTTTCCAGGAGACCAGAGCTACATTCACCAAAGGTCGAGAGCATATGCAGGCGAGGATGGACGAGTTACCCAGCCATGTGGATGAGGAGGGGAGTGGTAGAGGAAGGCACACTGAGAAAACCCCGCTGAGAGAGAGCAGTGCTCAGGAGACCAACTGTGTCTGTGTCTCCACTGCTGACAGTAATAAGGACTGAGGATTAACATTGGATTTGGCCACATGGAGATCAAAGGAGACCCTGACCCAGGGCTGCTTCCTGGCTGAGAGAGGGTGACATCCTGTGAAGATGTTGCACCTTGCAGAGGAGAGGAAGGGAATCAAGACCACAGGGGAGAGTTTTCCCACAGGGAGATAGCTGGACAAAGTGTGGTCCCCAGGAGAGTGACCAGATGATGTGAGAGATGGCAGGTCTGTGTGCTGGTGGGTGATGCATACAGAGGGGTAGGGTGTGGCAGTAGAGAAGTCTCTCCTGCACCTCCAGGGTGGGCAGGTGTGGGATACAGGAACCGGGAGGGCAGTAGGCAGAGAACGTGAGGCCACTGTTACTGTTCACACTTAATCTTTACTTAATTCAGAATTGGTTGTTGCATATCCCACCTGGATACACACAAGTTGCTAAATGAATGATTGGTTTCCCACTGAACTGAAATTTATAGCTTTTGACATCTTTTAATTTCCCACATATGCCTGTCTGGCCTCATCTGTTCTTCTCTTGACAGCTTGCTGGTTTGATTACAGTGGCTTCCTTACTGTCTTTGGTTCTGACACCAGGCAGTCCCCACTCTGTTCTTTAAAATTTCATTCTGGTCTCTTCTCCAGCATCCATTGTTTATATGAGTTCTAAGGTAGTTTTATTTACTCCTTTAAAAGACTTCCGCTGGAATTCTAATTAGAATTGCACTGCACTTACACATGGAAACGTGCATACACACATTTGGGAGGAATAGACATTTTTGGAGAACAGGAGGACACGGAGGTTAGGAGTCAGTCTCTCTCCACATCCAGTCTTCCTGTCCTATTCTTCATAAGCAGCCATTGTTAGTTTATTGTGTTCTTCCTAAAAGTTGTCCATGCAAATATATGCACGTATCTGATTATTTATAAAGACAGTGGGAAGTAGTATACACCTGTAGACCCAACTGCTCAGGAGGCTGAGACAGAAGGATCAACTGAGCCCAGGAGTTTGAGGTTGCTGTGAGCTATCATGATGCCACTGCACTCTAGCCCAGAGCCCTTGCTGGCTTCCCCCACAGAGCTGTGATCAGCCAACCATGAGGACTGCAGGTGTCTGGATAGGAAAGGCTTGGGACCCTGAGCCCTCAGCAGGCAGCAGGTGCCCTGCACTTGGTGTTCAGAGTCCCTTGGCACTTGTTAAATGGGACCTTCTTGGGATAGCCAGAAAGCCAAAGAACCATGTGGTTGCAGGTCAGAGTTCATGGCGAGGGTGGAGCAGAGCAGGGCTGTGGCGCCTGCAGCTCCTTGGGTGTGCAGCATGCCCCTCACTGACTCTCTGCAGGAGGCCCAGGGATCCCTGAGGCTCCCCCAGGAAGTCAGGGTCTGCCGGGGGGAAGGCCAGGTCCCTCATGTGCCCCCTTCTCTTCCTCAGCTCCACAGGCTCCTCCGATTTCTGTGGTCCTCAGAGGCCCCAGGAGACCGGGTAATGGCAGCAACTAGGCTCCTGCCGCGGCCGGCAAGACCCCAGGTGAGCTGTCCCCAAGGTCTTTGCAGTGCCCCAACCAGAGCCCCTGTGGCTCCTCCCACACCCAGGGCTCCCAGCAGCAGCCTGAGCATTACTGCATCTCCTGAACTCTGTGACCCTTTCCCATTGACCCCTCAGTTCACAGGCACCCCCATTTCCAACTGCCCACGTTGCACACGCCCACTCCCCTTCACAGACATGGCGGTTCAGTCTTACCAGCAGAAGCCCCTGTCATTCCAGGCTGAGGTGACCTTCGAGGATGTGGCTGTGCTCCTCTCCCAGGAGGAGTGGAACCGCCTGGGCCCTGCTCAGAGGGGCCTCTACCGAAACGTGATGATGGAGACCTATGGGAACGTGGTCTCGCTGGGTAAGCCCCTCTGCAGGCCTCGTCCGTGTATCTGTGAGTTGGACTGGGGTAGGGCTTCTCAGGGGAGGGGCTCCTCTCCCAGGTAGGGGCCTGGGGCAGCTTGGTCCTAGAGGCTCGCTCATCACTCCCTGGGTGCTCAGCTCCAGTAGGTCAGTCCTATCTATCTTCATGTCCCCATAGGCGGCATGAGCAGGGGTACAGGGGCTTGGTAAACATTATATAAACAAAGGACTTCCCTCCCCATGAGCAGGACTTCCAGGATCCAAGCCCGAAGTGATCTGCCAGCTGGAGCGAGGGGAAGAGCCATGGGTCCTGGACAGGAAGGGAGCTAAGAAAAGCCAGGGCCTGGGGAGTGGCCACTCAGGTGAGTGAGAGGAGCTGACCCCTCCTTCACTGGGGCCTCAGCAGGTTCTGAGCACAGCTGTGGGCCTAGTTCAGACTGAGCCGCTGATGGGGAGTAGTTTCCACCTGGGGTGAGACAGGTAAGGCCTTACCTGGCGAAGGAATCTGTGGGCTGGGGTTGCTCAGTCAGGCAGTGGTCCATGGCAGGAAGTGAGTGTAGTTGTGAATCTCAACAGGCAGGTGTGCAGAGCAATGCAGAGGTGAGACTGGGGCATGGCTGTAGATTTTGTCCCTGACCAGAGGGACAAAGACTGGTTAGCCAAGTTCAGTCCTAATGGGATGCTTAGATTACCTGATTAATTTAGAAAACAAGAACAGAACAAAACCTCCTAAATGTAGAAGGGAAGTTTCTCAACTTGATACTCAAGGTGAAGGGCTAAAAACTCACTGTTTTAGGTCAAGAACAAGACAAAGGACCCCAACGTCCTCACATCCATGTAACATTGTACTGGGGGTACCATGTGTGAATTAAGGAAAAATAAACGAAGCAACAAAACTAGAGCTATAAGAATTAGAAAGGAAAAAGAAAAATGTTGTTTGCAGTTCATGTGATTGTCAACTTAAAAAAAGATTGATTAGAATTCACAAGAGAGGCTGGGTATGTGGCTCACACCTATAATCCCAGCACTTTGGGAGGTGGAGGCAGGAGGATCGCTTGAGGCTAGGAGTTGGAGACCAGCCTGGGCAACATTTAAGACCCCATCTCTGCAGAAGATAAAAAAAAATTAGCCAGGCTTGGTGGCATGCAAGGTAGAAGTTGCAGCTACTTGGTAGTTGCAACTACTCAGGGAGGCTGAGGCAGGAGGATTGCTTGAGCCCAGGATTTTGAGGCTGCAATAAGCTTGGTCATGCCATTGCACTCCAGTCTTGGTGACAGAGTGAGGGCTTGTCTCTTAAAAAAAATTCACAAGCAAAATTACCAGTGTTGCTAGATACAAAATCAGTCATATTTCTATTTCTCAGCATTAAGCAAAGGTGTAATTTTTAAAAAGATAACTAATAGTATCAGGAATATAAAGCATCCAGGAATTAATCTAACAAAGGGCAAGACATTTATGGAGAAAATTATATTTAATAAAAGGGAAGATGACATAGGTACGCATAGATCCAACCCTAAAGGCTGTGCTCATGGTTGCTTTAGGCAAAGAACCTCTGACTTCAGGAAGGTGACCTCAGTCAGCCTGTCAGGCCAGGACATACCCACCACCCTGAGGTGGGTGGGAATGGCACTGGCAACACCTCCATTGGCTGATTGGCTTCAGCATCTCAGATGTGGTTGTTTTCTCCTTGAACGCTCTCCTTGTTTCTAGAGGAACAGAAACAAGGGCACCAGATGTTAATCAGATATCCTGAGAGGAACAACGGCTGTACTAGCCTCAGATGAATTTAATTTTGTAGTGGCCATGAACAAGAAGACACACATCATGTTGTGGAAATCTTGCACAGTACTTCTGTTTGTTGACTGTAGCCACAGGAGGCAAGAAAACACGGCGAGTGTTTTGCAGCCACTGCCAAACCAGACCTGGGCTCCCTGGTGGCCAGCTGTGCACTCACCTGATGGAGAGCTTAAATTCCCTTTAAGTGCCCTTTGAATTTGATGCTAAACAGACTATGAACTTCTCTGAGAGCATAGTGGGTTGGAGATGAGAAGTTTTCATACAGAAGCACCTGGTCACCCCGCCTCCAGCACAGGCCACTGAGAAAGCTGAGACTGAGTGAGCTTTAGATTAATGATGTGAATAGGAAGCAAAAGCCTCCTGCCTCACCACTGCTGACATCAGAGCCATCCAGGAGCAGAGTGTGCCAGGTCATTGTCCTGACAGTTCCTCAGGATAGATAAGTGTCTGCACCAGCCCCACCCCTGCTGTTTTTAACTCAAGCGAATTACACTTATGTGTTGTAACAGTAGTGAAAGGATTTTTCTTTTCTCAAGGGGTGTTTTGTTGTCACTTCAACTCTCTGTTCCTCTTACAGACAACCTCAAATGTGACCGAACTACAGCCTGCACGCAACAAGACAGTTTTTCTGATCCATGGGGTAAGTGTATGTCTGATCTTTTAAATTCAGAACAATCTCTGAAGGTGTTAATGCTCATGTTTCACCAGAATGTAGAGATTCCCCAGGGTGCTATGAAGCTTCTTATATAACTCACACAATCCCTAGAAAACACTAGGGAGGGTTTTTGTTTTCAATTAAAAATTTATTTCAGTGGGATCACTTTTTCTCTCTTTATTTATTTTGTCATGCTTAAAACATACTTCCCTACTCTATACTTAAAGCAACAACTGAAGCCATCATTCTAAAAACAAGTGGCTCCTGGCTCAAGCCCAGCTTCTGTATAGCATGGATCCAAGGTGCAGGCAGGTATGGCCCGCCGCCAGCCTTCACAGCAGCCTGAGTCTATCTTGCAAACAGTCATATGATGCTTTTGTGCCGTGGATGACTGAGGAACCTCCTATACAGTTAATTTGTTTTTTATTGTTAAAGTCCTCTTGTCCATCTTGTTACTCTGGCATCAAGTCAGAAGCCACCCATTCCGGAAACTTCAAACAATAGAAATTGTGCTTTTCAATGCAAATGAGTAATGATTTCTTTAGCCTGCAGGCCTTTTTTCTATGAAGATGAGGCTTATAAGTAAAAAAGAAAAAAGAAAGATAAGAAAGAAAACTTGTTTCTATCAATTCTTTTTGTTGTTGTTTTGAGACAGAGTCTTGCTCTGTCACCTGGGCTAGAGTGCAGTGGTGCCATCATAGCTCATGCAACCTCAAACATCTGGGCTCAAGCGATCCTCCTGCCTTAGCCACCTGAGTAGCTGGGACTATGGGCATGCACCACCGTGCCTGGCTAATTTTTCCTATTTTTTTGTAGAGATGGGGGGGTTCTCGCTCTTGCTCAGGCTGGTCTCAAACTCCTGACCTCAAGCAGTCCTCCTGCCTTGGCCTCCCAGAGTGCTAGGGTTACAGGCCTCAGCCACCACACCTGGCCTGTTCTTATCAATTTTAAAAACACATAGAATAACTTTGTAATGTGAGATATGTTAAAAATCTTATTAAACAGATGACCATGAATTCATATTTTTAAAAATGATCCTGTTAAATCTTTACCATTTCAATTTATCAATACATTTAATAAATAAATTGCTCTGAAGAGAATAAAAAGATGTCTCACTATGTTACCCAGGCTGGTCTCGAACTCCTGGCCTCAAGCAATCCTCCCATCCAATAAGAAATGTAAGCACAAAACTTGAACAAATTTCTTATGGAAGAGGAAAACCAAAGGGCCAGTAAATAAGAGAACATGCTCAGCCTCATTACTCATCAGTAAAATGGAAATCAAAACCACTATGATATATCATGTTACACCTTCAGGATGGAAAAAATGGAAAGATCTGAAAATACCAAGTCTGGGTAAGGATGTAGAGCAGGTAATGGGGATGTAAATTCACACAGCCACTTTGGAAAACAGTTTGGCGTTATCTAATGAAATTGAAAATATGAATTTCTATGTTCACTACTTCCACTTCTACATGCATAAAGTAGAGCATTTGTGTATAAGCACCAGGAAACATACAAGAATCTTTATAGAAGCATACTTCAGATGGAAAAAGCTGAAAATAACCCAGGTGTCCATCAACAGTAGAATATACAGATTAATAAATTAAACTTTTTTTTTTAGGAGACCAGGTCTTGCTCTGTCACCAAGGCTGGAATAAAGTAGCATGATCATAGCTAACTGCAGCCTCGAATTCCTGGGCGGAAGTGATCCTCCTATCCCAGCTTCCCTTGTTAGCTGGGATTACAGGCACACACCAGCATACCCAGCTAATTTTTAAAATTTTTGTAGAGACAGAGTCTCACTGTGTTGCCTGGTCTCGAACTCCTGGCCTTAAGCAATCCTCCCACCTATGCCTCCCAAAGCACTAGGATTATAGGTGTGAGCCATAGCACCCAGCCAGCATTTCAATATAATGGAATATACTACAGTGAAAATGGCTGACTAGCTGCTACAAAACAACATGATGGATCTCAGAAACATAATGCTGAGAGAGGAAAGCAAGTTGCAGAAGACTATCCGCCATGGAATTATAGAAAACTCAAAAACATGCATAAGTAAAATTATTTAGAGATACAAACTTTAAGATAAAACTATTTTTTAAAAAAAGAGGTTCCACTTCCAGTCAAGATGGACCACCAGGGACCAGAGTAACCCTGCCTCTTGAAACAACTGAAAAACTGGGCAAGAGATATGAAACCACATCTCTCAACATGTTGGCCATCACTCCTATTGGAAATCAGTCAACAAAAGAGATCCCTGGCCGGGCGCAGTGGCTCATGCCTGTAATCCTAGCTCTCTGGGAGGCCGAGGCGGGTGGATTGTTTGAGCTCAGGAGTTCGAAACCAGCCTGAGCGAGAGCGAGACCCCGTCTCTACTAAAAATAGAAAGAAAT